TAGTTAAAAATATAAATAAATAATTGGGGATAGAATAAACAAATTTCTTGGGCAGAAAAATTCCAAAAATACTATATACATACTTTGCCCTTAAAGGCATAGAACAGAAGTTCTCATTCCCTAAATATGATCTGCACACAGTGACTTTCTTCAAAAAAAGTACAGTAAGAAAAGTTGGGGGGAGGGGGAGCTTTATATCCAGGTAGTCAAAATTAAAATCTATAGATATGTCATACTGGTAGTATATTCCCTTACTACAATGTGATGAGAATGTACCGCTGTTATTTTTCTCCCCAAAACATTTAATCCCAGTACAATCTTGAGGAAAAAATAAGACAAATCTCCATTGAGGGATATTTTGCAAAATAACTGACCAGGACTCCTAAAAAATAAGGTAATCAAAAATAAAGTCTGAGAAAATGTCACAGCCAAAAGAAGCCTGAAGAGATTTGACTTGATGACTAAATGTATTTAGGATGGGCTTCTGGACTAAATATATTTAGTATTTAGGATGGGCTTCTGGAACAGATAAAGGACACTAGGTAAATACAAGGGAAATCTGAATAAAGTATGGCCTTTAAAATAATGTATCAATATTGCTAAAATAATATCCCAAATAACCTTTTTTTGTTAACCTTTCATTTGCTAACCCCTCCTCACACACACACACACACACACACACACAGAGTGTACACACAATAGTGACTCACATAGTTCACCAAAACTGACACACTATGGCATGATTGGTGTTTACCTTCAGTAACTCTATAGTTATTTCACTTCAAAGAAGACATATCAAGAATAAGTTTGCATGTTTATTTAAGATCTGATCCATGATAAAGACCACCTCTAAAAAAACCCAAAATTTTGTGTGCATATAATTTTTTATAAGTCTTATTACGTTATTGGGACTTTTATAATTAAAAAAATTTATATCAATCAGAAAAAAAGATTTCATAATATTCTCATACTTTATAGAAGTACATTTGAATATTAATTATACTATTCTCAAATTTAAATTGCATAATTTAGAAGTTATTTTTAAAATAACATCTCTCATGTATTTATTGCTCCATTTATCTTACAATTAACAAAAGGAATTTGGAAGACTTTTGTATAACTGGCAAATTAAAATAGATTTTTTTAATATTTTTAATGGAAAAGTTTTGAAAGTATTTTGTAATTGAATATATATAAGGATAATGTCATCATCTTAAAAATTCTGTGAAGAAGTATTTATTATAACATTTCTCATATAAAAACACTCTTGATCATGTTGGGAGGTAGTTAAAAATTTGTTTCACTTTCTTGATATGCTGAGAGAAAACATTACATGTTTGGTTTGTTTTTTGATTAGAGGAAGGAATTGCAGATCATTATTGTACTCATTTAAATTATCAAAATTTCAAGAGCAAATTAATGTTACTGATTTATTTGATATTTTCATACTAATATTTTATATTTCTATACAGATAATTAAAATAGAAGAATACTTTGAAAAAAGCCATGTTGTAAGTGAAAAGTTTAAATGACTTATCAAATCATTCACCGGTAGGAGTGATAAAGCCAGGAGTGTCATTCTTTTCCTTGTGATTTCAAATTTTAAAATTGTCATGTAGTAATAACTTATTATTATCATCAATATGAAGTATTATATGTGGCTAAATGAAGCATTACTGTTATATATAGAATTATGGAGTCACTCAAAATTTTGCTTTGGCATCCAGGGTCAGTAGTTATTCCAGAAGCTCAATGGGCAGTCACTATGATAAGAAAACCAGTGACCAACTAATTATGTCTAAAATACAGAATAGTTATTTAAGCAAGTGTATAAATACCCAAAGCAAAAATGACAAAACCCCTCTCTGTATCCAACTTGGTATAGAGAGATGAAAATAATTTTCATTTCATAAATTATTTTTAGTTTCTCTCAACAAAGTCATTGAAACTGGAAACATTTCTTTATTTTTCTGTTTCCTTTCATTTTGACATAGTAAAAAATTCATTGTGGTGAATTTATTAATAAGCATTATTTTATAAATATTCTGGATATACTCGTACAAGCTGCATTTGTAAATACCAAACTAATAAAAATCATAATAATATAATTGAAAGGTGATATTAAAAGTTATTTCAGCATATTACATTTCAAATTGTGTCATGATCAAAGTTTCTGAAAATGTGACATCATTTCCCCTGAGTGATTTAATTTTATTATAAAACTCCAAAATTACTGAATATTATCACTGCCTCTTTGTAATATCTGACAGACTCTTCATAAAACTTTAAAGCATAATATCAGATTTTAAAAAAGTATACTGTCAACAGACTGAGGGCTGCCAGAGGGGACCGGGTTTGGGGACTTGGTGACAAAGGTGAAGGAATTGAGAAGTACAGGTTGACAGTAACAAATTAGTGATGGGGATGTAAAGTATAGCATAGGAAATGTAGTCAATAATATTGTAATAACTATGTATGGTGCCAGTTGAGTACTGGGAATATCAAGGGGAATACGTTGTAAAATATATAATGCTGTACACCTAAAACTAATAAAAATACAGTAATATCAAATGTAAACTGTAATTAAAAATTTTTAAACTAAAAAATGTAAAAAGATATTACCCGACATTTTAATCTTATCTTGTTTGTGGCATGTGGTTGTAGACAGGGGTTATTATGAAAAGTGGGGGAAAATAAGAAATAAATTTAGGTATACTGTACTTGATTCGCACTTGGAAAAAAAATCCAGATTTGAGAGATGGATAATTGGGAGGCACAAGCATAGTGGAGACTGAATGAATGAAAAGTCTTTCTACTTCAGGGTGTGAAGAAAGACTGTCATCTGGGTCAAATGGCATTGAGGCTGTTTTATACTTTTGGGAATCTATACTGCCATGCCTGGCATACTGAGTCAGTGTCCAAATAGAGATTTTTTTTTTAAATCTCTCCCAACAGAATCAAAATTAACACTTAAAAAGGAACCAATTTGGGTTGGAGTTGGAGAAGAGATAAATTAGGTGGCACACAGATGATTTTTAGGAAAGGGGAAATATGCTGAGTGATACAATAATGATGGCTACAAGTCACTATACATTTGTCCAAACCCATGCAATGTAAAACACCAAGCATACACTTTAATGTAAGCTATGAACATTGGATGATTACGATGTGTCAATGTAGATTTATCAATTGTAATAAATGTACCACTTTTGTGGGGGATGTTAATAATAGGGGAGCCTATGAATGTGTGGGGCAGGGGCTAAATCAAAAATCTCTCTATTTCCCTCTAGTTTGCTATAAACCTTACACTGCTTTGAAAAATAAAATCTCAATATTATTAGAGGTTAAAAAAAAGAATCAATCTACTCAGAATTTTTTTTAAATGGAAATAAACCAATGAAAGAGTTTTTCTCATCCAACTTTGTGAGCAGTTTCTATGTCTACTCTAATTTGGACTCCAATGTGCAAGATTCAATAAACCCCCAGAGGCAAGTAGAATCTATTGAAGAGGCACCAATAAATTAAGCATTTCTACCTGACTTTACTTGTTTCTTATCATGATAACAAATCTAAAATTATTACTCTTGAGGCAGAATAACTTCTCACAAAAATTTAAACGCATGTTAGCTTTAGAGCATACCATTCCATCCATACTTCACAGAATTAACTTCGCCATGTGCCTAATTTCCTTTAATTTCTGGAACTGAAGAGTAACTTTTGGAGGCCAACAGGGAGGTCCATGCTAAATACTTCAAACACATAAAAGGTGAAAATGCTTTATACTTCATTTAACTATTTTACTATTTGCACGCTAATGTGTGAATGATATAAAAAAACAAACAATACAAACTTTCAAAAGTTTCATTTTTAATTAAATGTTTTAAACTCCTCCACAAATTCCTTATTTTCTTATTATAAATACCAGCCACATTGTTCTTAAGCAAATACTCAGTTTAGGGACGGCATCCAATTATTTCCCTTTAAACTTCTGACCTGGTGAAAGAAGCAGGGCCTCTTTCCAACAGGATCGTTTACTTTTTTGTGATTCTTAGATGGGGGAGCATTGGGACCAGGAGTAAAAGCAGACTTCGTCCCATTTGTCTCTATCTGTGGGAACAAGACCAGGAAGTCAGCATGCCTCCAGCTGAAAAAGAGCTGAGTGTTATAAAACATGTTTCCACCTTTCTGCCCTTTGGGGGTTAAATACAGGGTGGATTGTCTGCTTTGGCAGCTCCTAAAACTGCTCCAAAAAGATACAGGAAGTCTCATAAAATTCTCACTATCTAGAATGACATTCTTAGCTCTGGGATTGAAACTACACTGTAGAAAGAGACAAGATATAATAGCTTGAAATGCCAAAATTTCATGAAAATACTGTTTCTTGGAAAACTAAGGTTATTACACAGATATTCACAATTGTAAGCTTACCCAAAAGCATACCACAGGGGCTGTGGCCACCTCTCCCCCACACAGCCAGATTCAAAAATGAACTTTTCACCAGCCCTAATGACTGATTCCAGTATGACTCAAACAGAATTCCATTTGCTTGGTTTTGTTTCACCAAAAGCAAATTGAGATTTGCACATGTGAATAAATTATAAGAGCATCCAGTCCACAAGAATTAGTTGATGCCTACAGAAAATTCAGGTTTCTTACACAGGCATGCTTCATTTTATTGCGCTTTGCTGTATTGTGCCTTGTAGACACTGTGTTTAATACAAATTAAAGGTTTGAGACAACCCTTGTTGAGCAAGTCCATCAGCATCATTTTCCCAACAGCATTTTCTCACTTCATTCTCTGTATCACATTCTAGTAATTATCTCAATATTTTAAATGTTTAAAATAGTACTTGTTTTTTAAAATTATTATTTGTTTTTTCATCATCATTATTATTATTTCGTTATTTGTTATGGTTATCTGTTATAAGTGATCTTTGATGTTACTATAGTAATTGTTTTGAGTTTCTATGAGCCATGACTCTATAGGAGGACGAATGCAATGGGAAAATGTTGTATGTATTCTGACAGCTCTACTAATCTGCTGTTCCCCAATCTCTCTTCCACTCTTCAGGCCTCTTTATTCCCTGAAACACAACAATATTGAAATTAGACCAATTAATAACTGTGCAATGGCCTCTAAGTGTTCGACTGAAAGGAGGAATTGCATATCTCTCAATTTAAATCAACAGTTAAAAATGATTAAGCT